GTGTATCCATATAAATGGCCCTCCCTGTAGATAAGATAAGACCCGGAAGGGGCGTGTTTGGAGGTGTGGTCCCACTCCTGAAAGTCAGATCATTTATCTCCAATAAATCTTACTTAATCTTAAATCTTACTCTTAATCTTAAATCTTAATCTCTGACTTTCGTCCATAGTAGTCCCTATAGCATTACTGATGTGATTGTGTGTGTATACGTTTGTGTGTGTGCTTATGCTTAAGCTTATCAGTGCTTTCCCAGGGAGCGCCCCCTTTCTCTCCTGGGAATATGAAGCCATGTGTGTGTGCAAGTCCTGTTTGTTTAGTCTGATACCACTCAAGGCCAGTGGTCAGTGTGTGTGCGTTCAAATAGTGGATGGGGTTTTGGAAAAAAAAACTAAAACAAAACCAAAAAAAAATGAAAAAAGGACCAAAAAAACAAAACTAACATAGAAAAGAATAAACTGCTCACACACTGCAGAACTGTAATCTTTTGAATTTAATGCACGTGCTGGTGTTGGACATTTTAAGAGTGCCCTCTCTTCATCACGCAATGAAAAGGCCTGATAATGATGGTCAGCGCCATCATAAATCACATTAATTGGCTGAGTAAGTTTAAAACATGTCTATTCAGGTGTACCAAAGATTATACTGTTAGATATTGTCTCAGGCATTATATATATATCTTTTCTGGATTTGTCGAGATGTAATTCTTCACGTACTTGTTCTTATAAGTTTCCTTTATGTTTTTCTAGTTAGCCTCATAACTCATGCAAAGACGATATGTATTACTCACAGATGATTCATTTATTAACTATTTTTCCGATGTAATACGTGGTTCTGTTTGAATATTATTATCACTGGTCGTGGTCATATGACCTATCACAGTTTATTCAACATGGCGCCGCTCTGTGTTTCATTATCTGATGAAGAGCAGGTTTGTAGGAAACTTCATACCCTACTTGATGCAGAGTTTCCTGAGATGCTGGTACTCAGAAATCCCTTACTCTGCTGTTTGAAATGTGGGTAAGGTCCTTCAGAAAGCGATTTCACCTCAGCATTTATTTATTATTAAACACATTCATGTACAGTACATGAATTTAGACAACGCTGCTAAGAGGAAAAAGCAGAATACACATGACTGAACAGTGACCAGAATTACTCTCTGCATGGGAGCGAGTGAGTTTTCATGCTACCACAGACTCCAACAATAACAGTGGCATCACATTCATAACAGTGAACTTTAGAGCCTGCCTGAGCAGGATCTAAAAGTTAACAGAGGCAAAGCTGCTCTTAGTATAAACATGGTCATAAGATAATAAGTCATGGGTGAAGCTTAAATGCCGCAATACAGATAAGAAGTAAAGTAAAATAAGTAACTTCCAAGATAAACATCAGTATGTGCTTCACAAGAAGAACTCAATTCATTATTTAAAACTGAAAGTCGTCCAATAAGATTTCAAGTAATAAAAAAAACAAAAAAAACCCCCCAGCCAGTCTTAACTTGTCTGAACATTTATTAAATTCGTTTTTATATGGAAGGACCTATAAGTTTCAGTTTATGAGCTGTAGCCTTAAACAGTAACCCTTGGCATCTAGATTCAGTGGTAAAACTAACATTATTAAAGGCATAAAAATAAATATTTACCTTGAATGGATGAAAAGGACCAGAAGATTTTTGTTTTGCCTGAGCTTTTGGCTATTAGATAGAAAGTTGTTGGACTTAAAGAGCAGAATTGGAGAAATTATTAGCATTAATGTGTCAAAACAGCAGTACATTGTTGCTGAGGCTGCCACATTCAATACTCCGAATATAACACGTACTTCTACAAAAATTGACTCATTAATACTTTTTGCAATAATTTTTCCTCAAAAAGGTTTAAAAAGTAGCAAAACAGACACAGTGTTGGAAACAGTGTAGTGCAGTAGTGGACTGGCCTGTTAAAAGCATTGTGCCTGTTTTTAATTCATTATGTAAGAGTAGTGAGACAGACAGGTAAGTTTGCCAGCTGATAGGTTAGCTGAGCTCCTCCTGTTTCGGTGTGCCAAAGCAGACCACAACTCTCCGTTAAAGTTTACTTGAGGTGGTGAATATCATGTGTCAACACATGACACCAGCACACCTCGGGAAATCCAGCAGGTTGGCCTAGAGGGAGCTAGAGGTCCTGTGAGATTGATTCAGAAGTGCTTCTGCTAGTCAAAAAACACTTCAAGGACCTTCTGAGACCAACAATGTTTAATGTTACATCATCTTTGAACCACAGAAACAACTAGAAAAGTGAAAGCGGTTGTCTCTCTGTGTCAGCCCTGTGTAAGGCTGGACACCAGTCTGCCTCTCACCCTACTGCAGCTGGGATAGGCTCCAGCCTCCCATCGACCCTGAATTGGAAAAGCAGAAGAAGATGGATGGATAGATTTCTTTTGCTATATTTTATAGTCCTGCTGACTAATGTGGCCTTGCTCCAAGCCTACTGGTTTCCTGGAAAGATTCTTGACTGTGGCTCCAACATTGTTCTCTATGCAGTAAAAAGCAGAGCTAGCTGTGTGTGACTGGAAGACTCAAACTGACGCATGCATCATATATTTGACACAGCAGTGGTACATGTGATACAAAGGTGTGTGTGTGGTTCCTAATAGTAATAAATTGCAATAAATAAATTGCTAAGTCTGATCTTTATAGAAATGGCAGTATGACTTTGACATACTGGGAACAGGTCAAAGTCTGTGATCACAAATGCAGCAAAGTGAGTGAAAAGTCAAACTACAGCTCTCATGCATCCTGGCCTGACTAAAATATATTGTGAATGGACTGCTACTTAAAGCTTTCCTACTCTTTCTTACTACAAGCCTCATTCACTCACTCTCAAATACACAAACACACTTTTCTTTCTTTTTTTATGTTTTAATGTGTTTTTTTGTCCCGTGTCTGTTTTCACTGGGATAAAGTTTATATATATATTTTTTGCACCCTTGTGCTTTCTTGGCATGCTTTCTTTTAAGTTTCAGACAAATTGAAAACCAGTTAAGCTACCATTTAAACTACTCCTGACTACTGTTACATAAGGTGCTAATGTGACACAAATCTAATCCAAGCTGGGTCCATTCACCCTGGTGGATTTCAGAGGCTTTTGGCGAGACCAAATCACATGTGCAGCTGTATATTGTAAGAAAGCAGCAGGGGAAACAGCAGCACAGCCCGAACTAATTAGGAGATGCCTAATTCGATTAATATTATTCTGGAATACATGAATAAAATGAATCGTTGATTAGCCTAACCGTTCGGCATCAACCAGTTCAACTGTTAATGCTGTTTTTTTGGCCTAAGACTAGAGTTCATTTGAACTTCAGTTGTTACCTTATGGACAGAAAAAGCTTAAACTAAGCAGACTTATATAACAGGCTTCTAGTAAATCCTACCTGCATGTTTGCCATTTTTACTTTTTATTTTATTGCACACAACAGGAAGTGTTTGTCAAAGTCTTTGCTGTTTTGCAGAACTGCTGTAATAAGTGAAAGTTGTTTCTCCCTGTACAAAACTATTCAAGCAATTTAATTTGTTACTGTAACTGTTACTGCAGTGTCACAGCTGTTTTGTTCTCATTTTAATTTACCAGCAGTCATTCGTAGTCCAGCAGTTGCTGTGGCTGGGACAGATGATCAACCATGTGTCCCTCTTGCTGTCTGCATTATAATCAAATAGTCTGGATTTCAATCTGGGGCTTTTCCTGTCGTATTGTAGGAGACTGCATGCCGGGAATGTTTAAAAGCTGACATCACCAAAAACAGGCTCGTAAAATGTTTCTAATTTGTTGCAGGACACTACAGGATTTGTAGTTACGAGTTAAGTGAATAATAGCAGATGCTGTACCTGTATCATTTTTGGTGTTGCTTATTCAATTTTGTCATCTGACTTCAATTACTCTCAATTATTTATGCACATGATTGTTACGCACGTGATTTCGAATGCCGGGATTTGTTTTTAGATGTGCTGGGTGTGGAAATGATCGCTCGCTGAAGAGAGAAAGCTTCCCACTCATAACAACTGTGCTCTCTGTTGTCAGAGTAGCTGATGTTATCGGCAACGAACGAGGCATGAAAGGATTTTTTGGCATCTGTTCTGAGTCCTTCTGCTGTATAATATGCGCGCACAAATGCCTCGCTGGCCCATGCCTTTAGGCCATGACGCAATCCAGATTAGCTCTAGATGGGAATGATTCATGCCCGGATTTATTAGAGTAGAGGAACAAAAAAACAAAACAAAAACCGCACACAGACTTACAAGAGTAACGCCTGTGATTTAAATCAGACTAAACTAGTCATCCTTTATGAGTGAGTCTTCTTATTTGCTGGTTTCTCTGCCACTATAAAAAAAGGAGACTGACCAGAGGTGTGTTATAGTGATGACTGCTTGTCGGCCAATGGTGCACGGCTGATTGCCAGAATTTTGGCAAGGAGGTGAAACGTGGACAGAGGGAGAAAATATTACAATTCATTTAAAAATGCAAAATATGAGCTTGGAGGAGCGAGTGCTCTCTGAGCAACCTTTTAGTTTAATTTCATTTGCAGTATTAGGCATCAGTAAGAATCTATAGTCCTATAACATGTAAGTATTTGCATGCTAATATATTGATAATAATATCAGTTTATACACCAAAGTTGGTTAAACTTGGTAATGTAGTAGATCACACATTTGACTAACAAGCAAAAGATCCCTCCTGGGAGGAGACACACATCCTTTTGGAGTTTGCCTCATGAAGGGCGTCCTGCATAGAAATCTACAACATGAAACATGCAGGGCTACCTGCTGTGGGACCCCATTGTGAATCCGCTAAAAGTAGTAGCCTTGGTTTAGCATTTGTGCAAATTAAACACAACATATGTCTGGAGCATGTGTGAATGCTGCACCGAAAAACATTGTGTTTTTTCTACTGTCGTGTTTTTTGGGTTTTTTTGCTCATCTTTGATATTTCAGGAAGGCGTACATATTCTTTGCTCTTTGTTTTTGACAGAGTTGAATATGGAGTACAATCCATCAGACCATCCACGGGCGAGCACAATATTCCTCAGCAAATCACAGAATGACGGTGAGTGGCTTGGTTTTATAGAATTTCACATAACAGGAAATTTGTCTCTTTATCAGGGTTTTTCGGTTCTGGTAATTAAATAATTTTATTACATTTGATACTCAGTTGAGGAAGAAATATAGAGAAGGTCAGAAAGAGTTGCATTGTGTCTTTTTATAGATGTAGAGCATGGGTGTCGAACTCCAGGCCTCGAGGGCCGGTGTCCTGCAGGTTTTAGATATCACCCTGGGTCAAC